ACCGACAGAGGAGAGCAGTTCCCTTCGAAGCATCTCAGTAAAGCGGCTCCCTAACCCCGCTGACCGTCTTGCACCTCGCCACACAAACAGAAAGCCGCCGTCCCAAATGCCCCCTCACCTACGCACCCATGGGTGCCAACACACCTTCCCGCATGCACGGTCAGGCAGGGAGAAACTCCCAAGGTCTCCAGGAAAATCGCAGGGGCTCCGCTCTCCCTGCGGGAACGCCAGTAACAAAATCCACCTTGGGTGGATCTGCAGCCAGAGCCGGGAGGGATGGGGGTCCGAGCTCGCTGCCGGTCAGGCGTGATGCACCAGGAACGGCTGGCTCAGCCCCACGGGAACCAGCGATGCCGCTGCTCCCCGCTCCCTCAAAACAGCTGGAGCAGCAGAGACAGCCGCCCCGTGGCCTGCACGGCTCCTCGAGGGGTTAATTTCGGCAGCGCTTGCCATGCCGATATGTTAGTTATTGCAATTGAATGAGATTTCAATACAGGTCATTGCTTAAAGGAGCATTTTTAAGCAACACGGGACAGAGGTGGGAGAATCCCTTAAATCCGCCTGCTGATAACAGGGGCCGGGCGCTGCGGGCTCGGAGCTGGCAAGTGGCATGCAGAACCGGCGTCACCGTCACGCAGAGACCGGCGTCACCGTCACGCAGAGACCGGCGTGTCTGAGCAGGTAACTCCTGCTGCAGCTGAGCGGCACTGGGAGCGTACGGACCAGCCTTGTTGGCTGGAGGGCTGCAGCTGCACCCCACATCTTTCACACCAGAAAAACACAGGGCAGCAACAAGACTGCCCGTGGCACCCCCGCAGCCATCCCCAGGATGGGACAAAGCCCTTGGCTGGATGCTCCCGGGAGGACCTGCTGTAGGACAAACTCCTCTGACCCCTCCGGGCCACGGCTGGCTCCCACAGAGCCTGGAGAGGATTTCTGGCAGCTGTTAATCCCTTCTGACTTCCAGCAGTATTTAATCTACCCTGATGTTCTCACTGCCTCTGCAATTACTCGATCTCTATGATCAGAGTTACCAGGAGCACAGTTTCTCCAGATTCCTCAAGTTAAAGGCTTTTTGCCCAGGGCATTAGCCCACTGCATCCCCAGCGCAGGCTGATGCTCGCAGCGGAAAGCTTCAGCCCTTGGCATTTCCCTTCGAAGCCACGTCAAGGCTAACGTGGTAGCAGCACTCAACACCTAGACAAGCGTGTCCCAGAAGACAAGCACAGAAGGACGGAAACCTGGTTTGTATCACATCCGAGCGGGTCGTTCAGGCTGAGCCTCAGTCTTCTGCCTGAGCAGCAGCAGTCTGGGCTTCTGCAAGACAAGCCCGTGTTTCTTGGGTGGCATCGGAACCCAGGGGAGCCGTGCCGGAGCCGAGCCCCTGCCCTCGGTGGGGGCCGATGCACCCCACGCGCAGAGCACGGCAGCGGCGCAGGGCGCGCACAGCTGGCTCCGCTGCTGCGGCATCTCCTGAGCTTCTCCATCGCCGGCTGCTGCCGGACCTTTCGCAAGAGGCGGTTGAGAAACACGTAGAGGAAGTTTGAAAGCACAGAAGCACCACGCGCCTCTCGCCAAGCCCCCCCACGGGGACGTGACACAGGCAGGGGACCGGGCTGCTCCGGGCACCGGCACCCCCAGCCCCTCTGCACGCCCAGGGTGGTCGCGGTGCTAATTGCTCGCTCCACCGAGTTGGGCAAACAGAGCCCGCGTTGTCTCACCGCTCGTTAGCGTGCGGCATTGCAACACCGCAAGGGCCGTGGGAAACGGGGGCCGGATACCAGGCCCCCTCCCTGCCGCAGGGGCTCTGCGCCCCACGATGAACGTGTTTCTCGCTGCTCCCCTCTGCAATCCTGCATAAAAGACTTCTGCAGGGTGGTGACCCCCACGTCCCCTCAAAGATCCCCCACGCCGGGGAAAGCTGCCCTGCTCAGAGGGGCCAGCGCCGCCGCACATACCTGAGCCCAGCCCGCAGCGAGCCCAGCGCTTCCTCTTCATCCTCCCTCTCTCCATCGGCCCATCTCCACAGGAGGCACACGCCATGCCGGAGGGGAGCGAGACGGGGGAAACGCCTGGTTTGGGGTCCCGGAGCAGACCCCAACACCAGAGCATGGTCGGGGCGAGCGGCACGGGCATTGCTCAACCCCAAAGCACGTCTCTTGGTCGCAGAGACGGAGTCTCAGAGCAACATCCGCAAAAGCACCGGGCAGTTAAACTGCGCGTGGCTGGGTTGTCGCTCACCGCAGCCTCGGCACAAGGCTCCTGCCTTCCTGGGGTCACGGGGATTTACCTTTGCAGGCAGCAACGTAAAGCCCACGTTTGCAGCCGGGCTGCAGACGGCCTGCGTGCATCTCGCACCGCCGAGCCCACATCACCTCCTCGACGGGCAGCGGCGTGCGAGCGTCCTGCCTGCTCCCCGTGCCGAGGGATTTGCAGGCCGGGCGCGCGCTGTTGTCCGGTGCCGGGCTGCCGGAGGTGCTGCTGCAGCGGGGCTGCTGCCATGCAGGGCTTTTCCGACGGTGCTGCTGCTCCCAGAGCGGCCCCAAGAGCAGCCGGGAGCAAAGGGCTTCGTGCTGCTGCCTGTGCCGCCTGCCAGAGGCCTTTGCCGGCAGCTCTCAGACTCTCAGGTCATCGTGGATAACGCCGCGTGGCTCTAGGTAGCCTCTCGCATAGGACTAAAACGTGGCTTTTGGGTGTTTTCCATGTGTTCTGTTGTGAGCCACCAGGCTACTTTAGAGACTTTCACATGTGGCTCTGCTCGGCCAGTGCTCTTCAGTCCACCCCATTCAGGGTTTGCAGATCTATAACACGTGAGCTTCAGCCATGACATAGCCACAGTAACACCACGCTGCCTTAACTAAGCCCGCTCACACCTCCCAGCCGAGGAGCACGAGTCCCCGTCAGACCGCCCCACTTCTCCACCTGCCTACCCTGCGCCCACCAGCCCTGCGCCAGGACCAGCCTGACCCACCATGTGCTCGGAAACACCTTCGAACTCCCGCAGCGGCGTGCAGAGCAATGCCCCAGCCCCCCTGCGATGGGAAAACACAAAGGGGAAGTTGACAGAAAACCCCAGAATATGCAAGTTAGAAAATGCAAAGTTTCCACTGAAGCTCCTTTCCTCCCTTCCTCCTGAAGGCAGCTTCTCCTTGCACCCAGCAGAAGATGTCTCTCCTCCTTCCCCTTTCTGGGTGCTCGCCCTGGGGAGCAGCGGGGCCAGGAGCCCCACCGAGCCCCCTCCCAGCAGGTATTTGCCAGCAGCGTGTGCGAGCCCTGCACGCTCACGACGTCCTTGTGCACCGGGAGCGGGATTGCAGGGGGTCTTCATGCTGCAAAGACGCGAGACACCGCGAGTTCTCGCCGCAAGCACCGCTTCAGTGCAAACCTGCTTCCCACCTGCACGTCCACAGTGCCACGCGATGACACTACTTTCTTCGATTTCAAACCACCCAGAGTCAGAGCGCAATCCTTTTGCCACCAAGATCAAGGGGAGTTTGGGTGCTCTGACCCTGTAATCCGCTCTGTCCTACACTCCAGAATTAGCAAAGGGTTTTAGAGCCCTGAAAATCGCCACCCGACAGTTCCCACGTAGGTGGGAGCACCCTCGCAACGTGGACCCAGAGCACTTCCAGCCTGGAGAAGAGGCACGAGCGCAGGCGTCGTGCTGCGCCTGGTCTGGCAGAGCCTCCTTCCCGTTAGTCAGTTTAATTTGAGAACAAAATAATCCCCGGCTCTCCCACTGCGGTGCAAGTTTTCCATCTCGGTAACACATTTTTTTCCTGTATTCCACCTTTTGAAGTATTCGATACCGAACAGATTGCAAGAGGCCGGGGTTTAATTCAGGAGAGGCTGCTCGGATGCTTCCTGATAAAAATAGATTTTTTTTTTCTTCTGAAGGAGCCGGGTAAGGAGCTCCGGGATGGCGAGGGGAGGGCCGCGTGCTCCAGAAGCAACGTGCAGCTGGCCACCGGCATGCGGAGCCCCCCAGTCACTCGCCGAAGGAACGGGCCGATGGGCGAGAGAAGCCCCAAAATAATCCTGCTGGAATTTCACCTGCAGCAGGGCTGCCCGCGGGGGAAGCTGACAGGTGCTCCCTATAAAAAGGGCCTGGAATCTGCAGTCCAGGGGAAGACAAGACCCGGGGGTAGCTGTCGAGCACTATGCAGATCCCAGAGCGGATGGTTATAGTAAAGGCTATATTTTACATACGTGACATCAGAGGAAGCCTCAGCTCACGCGCAGCCATCATTTGCAAGCTTTCCCTCCTACAGCATTAACAGAAATTCAGCTTAAAAGCCAGAGTCCCACAACCAAACAGCTCTCCTCTTCAGAGGAGGCTCCGGGAAGTGCAGCTGAACCCCTCCGTCGAGAAACACCTGCACGGAAGGGTCCTGCACAGCACGGATTTTGCAACGGGGCTTTGCAATTTGGCTTCCCAGCATCTCGCTCCCCTTTGCCCTACAGCATGATCTCCTGCAGGACCTTCCCTTCTCCTCTTTGCTTCTGCAGCAGCGCTCTCAGCAGCCGCCCGCCGGCAGCAGGAGCCTGGGCCAGCTCTTCTGGAGTTCAGGCTTAGCCTGAGCCGTGGCCCAGGAGGGTTCGCCGCAGGGTCTCCACCGCATGGGAACAAAAAAAAGATCTGCATGCTTACACCTGAAATTAGGGACGCAAACCACCTCGCAACCCAGGGCTTTCTGCCCCAGGATGGTTCTTTTCCTACGGCTGGCTTGGAAAAATGGGGTTCTCCCTCCAAGGCCACGTTTAATTAAACTCAAGAGCTTTGCTGGAGCCATTCTTTTGTGGCAGGAAATCGCAGCGGTTCACTAAGAAGCTGCGCTCGCCGCCAAAGCCTTCTTGGCTTTCAGCAACTGGGAGTTTTCAGCTTGGGGCCAACACTTCTCAGTTGTGATCAGGCAACTCAAAGCAAGGAGTGTTGTGCCGAAAGCATTTGCTTTCAGCTCAAGTTTGCGCTCAACTCTCTGCCCAAGTAAAGCTTTGACGGTAAATATTTCCGATGGGCCTGGGAGAATGTGGTTTTCCCCCACGCAGGAGAGCGTTTCACCTGCGTGGGAGCCTGGGCTGGGCTATTTGTAGTGGGATCCGGCTGGAAGGTCTGAAATTTGGCCAGACCAGGCAAAAAGCTCAGCAGCCAGATGCTCCTGACCGTGCATTGCTCCCGCCTCAGGAGGCTTGCACAAAAAGCCCCGTCCCTCCCCGGAGGTGCAGACAGCGCTGGGCAAGAAGGAGAGCGATTCCTTAGCAGTATCGCCCGAGACGAAGAGCACCGAAACGAAACAGCCTAGAAAGGAAACATCCTTGAAAGCAGCAGCCACCGCAAGGCTTCGCTCCTGGCGGGGCAAGAAACTTCCCGCTGCTCGTGAGGGAA